ATAACATTTTGCAGACCTGCATATTTAGCCTAATGTTCATGGTGAAGGATATTAACATTTTAACTGTTAGGTTAATCATTTATGTCTGACGTAATTCAGTATCGAATATTAAAACAAATGTTTAATGTGTCGAATTGAATAAATCAGTCTTGTTACGATTTATAAGACGCAATAGGATTAAAAGAGTGTGCAATAAAATCGAATGTTTCGATTTTGTGAGATTTTAGTAGCTACTAATTTCATATTTAATGTGTAAAGTACATAATTCCGAACCTGAATTTTGATTTTGATGTGCTTGGCATTATGAGAGTTTCTAGAAACTTTTTGATTCTGATGTGCTTGGTATTATGAGAGTTTCTGTAAACTTTTTGCTTTTGATGTGCTTGGTATTATGAGAGTTCCTGCGAACTTTAATAAAATTATGAATAATATTAATCTATGATAACGAGGAATAGTTTCTCTTACCTAATTGTATGTAAAAATACACCGTCACCTTCAATTTTGAAAAAAGTCAGACGATTAATATCTGAATTTCTTAAAATATCAGAAATTAAACATTTCATTCTTCTCCTTGAACTTCAAAATCCATTTCATTTTTCGAATATTTAATTCTCACTGACGCTATCTCCTCTGCTCCTACAAACAATGATCAAACAATATTTCCATATATTTCAAACTTAACTCTTAACGGTCGAATGTCCCCTTAATAACAACTTCGAACTGTCACATCTATAATCGATAGCTGCAAATGAACAATTTAATTGTTCAAATAATAAGAGATCGATACGTGACTTCGTTTCTGGCACTTAAGATTTCGATACACAATTCAATTTTTGATAGAAATGGTTTTTAAACATTTAAAAAGTTCTCGTCCGCAAAGGGTTAACACGTTAAGCGCCATGTCAATTACTAATGACCGACGTTTCTGAATTACTGAAAACAATCGTAACATGCAAGATAACCGATGTCGATGCTTTTCTTTGCTACAAACGAATAACTCTACGGAAAAACGGTCAAAATTTTCATGACGCTTAACCTCTTGCCTTTACTTGTCCATTATCAAACTTTAACATTTGTAATAAACGTAGACATAGAATAAATATAAGATTCTTTCTGTTTCTCCTAATTTATTACCGATAAAATTGTTTTATCACATACAATTTAACGTCGAACCAACTTGATTTAAATAAATCCATCATACATAATTATTTTCCAACAAATCCGCAATAAGGACTTCCTCAACAAACACTTCCCGCCCACGACGCGTCACGAAAATCCACAGTTTTTTCATCCCCTGAAAAAGAACATCGAGCGAACATCCACTCCGAATCGAGTACACCTATATACTTCAAGAAAAAGACAACGAAAAGTACTTCAATCGTCGAGTCAGAAGTTTTCAAAGGAATGTCGCACTTAATAAAATCGTCGATCGATCAAGCTGACCCCAGGTCTGGCTCATCAGATTCCCAGCAACTGGGATCGAATGAGAGAGGGTGCATCGATGAATGTGTTACTACAGGGTCCGGATAACGACGGATCGAAAATCTTTGCCAGCGAGCCTCGACTCGTAATGATGAAAATAGCAAAGGCACCGTGAGTAAGGATCATTACTCGGCTCTTCGCCACGGCTCAACGTGCCTGCCCCCTGCTCGGTGATCCAGATTCCCGCAAATTTGCGTTTGTTAAGAGTGAAGTGCGCGCAATGGAACATAATTATTTGGGGTACGAT